TTACTAGGATCCACTTCATCCAATCCATCCAGAACTAAAAGAACTTTCGACTGATTTTCGCGAATGAATTTAAAGAAACATTCCTTAGCTTGATCTTCCATTTCCTCGGGTAAAATTTGATCATCAATAGCCTCCCAGATGTTGGATTGAATTTCATTACATTTGAGAAGCAGTAGCACTTCAATCTCTGGAAAAGATAGATCCCATTCGTCCTTCTTAGTTGCCCAGTCATACGCCAGCTTTTGACAGTATGTGGTTTTTCCCATGCCAGGATCTCCCTCGATCAAGATTGTTCTAGGGCTTAAACATTCTTTGTGCAGCTTAAATATAGCAGTCATATTGGTTATCTCGTCAGTAAGTACTCCTCGGGTCTTTTCTTTGCCTGAGATTTTTAATCTTGTAAAAATATCATTCAAATGAAAGCTGAAATCTTCACACCAAGGGACAGGCAGAAGGCGTTGTTCACGAGTTCTATACAGCTGACGGATGCTCTCAAAAATGTCGCTTGGGTATGACAAATCTAAAAAATGAATGTTCATACACGCTGCTTAAACGTTATCAAGTATTTGACCTGTTAGTTGGTATATTATGGAGGGTGCATGATTAGGGAAATATGACATACTTTGAGAAGTACTTTGCGATTCTATTAAAAAACGCATGAGAATTCGGAGGTGGAAGGGGAATCATTTGTCTTTCGCTATTTATGATTCCTGCCTTTTTTACCCAATGATTCATGATTTATTCACATCTTTTTTCCCAAGATTCATGATTCATTGTTTTACGTCTCCGCTTCCACCACCGAATAGAAGTATCCTGACCTCGATTTCACTGCAGCACTGGAATTAGCGGGATATAGACCTGACATTACCTTATAGTTACCTAACTTCGAATGTGGTCACATTCCTGAGCATTTCATAAGCCAAGTCAAACTTTTGTTTGCAGAAAGTCCGAATCAGTAAGAGTTCTTTCAGTTGCAGCATACTTGTGTTGCATAACTCTGAGGTTCAAACAACGACGTCAGCAATAAGAAAGGAATGTGAACACAAGAGTTCATCTTGTTGGGTTGATAAATACTGAAAGCCAAGTCACCTAAATCGTTAACATCTAGCGCCAAAATCAACTGTCACGTGAATCTTTGAATTCGTGGTCTACCTGCCTCAGTAGCAACACAGCCTCTGGAGACGAGATTGGTACTCTTAAAGGGTATCTATTTCTGATTTGAAGCGGTACAATTCGCCTTTTTTTGAGGGGGGATTTGAATTCGTGGCTTACCTGCCTCAGTAGCACAAAAGCTTGTGGAGGGGAGATTGTATCTTTGAAAGGGTTTCTATTTTTGATTTGAGGCGGTACATTTGGCTTTTTTTGGGGGGGGGTGGGGGTTGGGGGGGGAGGGGATTTGACAATAGAAGGATGGTCGCTAGATGCATATCATGAACTCGTACCTGGAGATCTAAAAGCCTTAAGATCTTCCATGCTCCTCCTTGGTTTTGCTCTGATTTCGTCGTTTTCCATCATGTACCCTTCATTACCCCTCTTATTCTTTTCAAATAAACACTCATCTGGCAAAATAAAAAATAGTAAACAACGGCCATTAGATCCTCACAGTTATATTCACTGAGGCGGAAGAACCGTCCGTCAGTCGACAAAAAAAGCATTCTCTATCACAGTCTTTTTATTTTGTACTGTTAACAGTATGGTTAGAAGGTCAATAATGAACCTTTGACAACTGACATAACCTTAGATAACTTATGATCACCTAGCAATAATACAATACCAAAACTGCAAATCATGAAAGTGCCTACGTCCATAGAAATGGAGTCATGAAAGTGACATGCGAATATTCTGAACGGAAAGCGCTAAATTTCTTAAAAAGTAAAAAAAATATTCTTGGACAAGTTCTGAGTAATGGACATTTCAGTCCGCCACTCCTGGAAATAGAATCTCTTTTAAAAATCTTTGAATACCTTTTCGTTTCCTTTACGGTATGCAGCATTTGGTACGCATCACTCGAGAAAGATCGAGGGGCCGAGCGCCTTAAAACTGGTACTTTACAAAGGGTAAGACGCCATGAATAAAACTCTTCTTATTATAATAATCATCTCTTGGTGTAAAATCGCAAGCCAATATTAGCTTACGATTCCAGTCACTCAGTATAAAGCGTGGATTTTTTACTGTGAACTGCTTCAAACTCGCCTGTTCGACATCACAATCACTTCTTCTCAATCACAACTATTAAGCTAAACAGGTCACACTTTGTTGCGTCTGAAAATCTGAAAAATTTCCGGCTGAACAGGATCTACTCCTATGAGTATAGGATATTTGAAGTGAGGAAAGGCTATTAAACATTCAGCAGGAAATAATTTTCTCCGCATGAACAAAGGCGATTACATTATTAATAAACTCATTAGGATGATTTGTAGAAAGAGAATCCATGCAAAGGTAGTTACCCACTCCCACTTCTCTTGAACACAAACACCACACCACAGTGCAGGGCTGATATCTGCAGCACATTTTCCACAAGTAAAACAAACCTGACTGATTGCGACAGGGAAGAGACTAGTATTGTACCTTTTCTAGGCTGAAGGCTAACATAGTGTAACTCATGAATGTGTCCCAACACAAGGGGGGTTGGGTCAGCAACTGCGTGTTCTGGATGGACAACTATTTCACGATCAAGGCTGCTGATAATACGAATGGCAGTTTGAAAGCGATTTGCTGCAGCAAACAGAACCACGTGATCACCCCATGTACCGTCTTTCGCCATGCTTTGTAAATATTCACCCCATGATGGGTAGCCGGAAACAAAGTTGAACATGGATGTTCCATCATGCTAAAAAAAACAACAACAACAACATCATTCAAGCAAGTGAATTTTTACCCTCACTGGTGAATCAGAATACAAATGGAGTGAGTTTTGAGTTAACTGATGACAACAACAGGTCAGAATGAAAGTGCTGCAAAAAATGATATACTTAGAGGTACAGCCAACTGTATACTAAGCTCCGAAAATACTTTTTCACTTTAATGAGTGGTGGTCTTTCAAAAGAAAAGCTTTCATGTACGGTGCAAAAGGAAGCACACATTCTCAAGTGATTACCTTATTTGAGAAATTCTTCCTAATGATATATTGATATATTGCAGTGCCGGATCCATACCTTATCATAAAGGCTGGGGGTGGGGGGGTTCATCCATGACCCTTAGATAATGGGGGGGCCCACTCTCAAAATGTTTTAGTTTGGTCTAAAAATAAGGGTGGGCGGGCCCCCCGGCCCCTCCCCTGGATCCACCACTGTATTAAGTTAAACCAGGTGCTCTAACACACTTTACCTTTTTCAGAGATGCCAGTCCTCGGGAATCTAATATCTGGACATTGTCCCTTTTTTGCAGTACACCCCTTCTCCCTTACAGGTACAAATCAACAAAGTTCCCAAATCATAACAAGGTATGGCTCAGGATATTATCAAATTGGCTTTATAGTCTAGGATTTTACAGGAGACACTAAAGGCCTCTACCATTTTTTTCCCCAGCATGATGAAGTTAAACATACTATTACGGGACTACATCATCGCCTTACCAGATTAGCGTTCTCTCTGAGAAACTGGACCAAAGTGCTTCTAAGTTCTTTGTGTGAGATTTGGATTCCTTTAACACTTTTCAGTTGCTCTGACAGTGCATAGAACAAACAGTTCCCAGATGCTTGGTTATCAGAAACTAAGAATCCTTTCTTCGCTGTAACTGTTCTCAGGTTAGATGGTAGGATGGTTTTGTTGCGAACCTGGTCTGCATCACATCGCAAATTTTGTAAGGATGGAAGCATGTTCTGAGCTGGAAAAAAAGATAGTTGTTTTTACATTTTCAGTAGTTCGATAGGTGGACACTGCGGCAAATTGTATTGATTATTTTCATGGGACATAAAAGCATTTAATAAAAAATACTTTTCTGTAAATCACAATGAGTTATTTTAGAGAACAGGCAAGATTTAATCCCCCCCCAGCTTTTTTCATAATTTCAGCAGTTTGAATGGATCATTGCTGTGCAGCATGGACACTCTTACAAGTTTTTTGCTGATTAAGTGGAGTTTATACCATCAAAATTCCAATTAAACATACATATTTTACACCCAAAAAAATATAACTCAGTTTTGTTTCATTTGGATAATGCAAACATGTTTACTTGCAAAAGGTCTTATCAGGTGTAAGACAACACTAGTACATTAAAGATAAACCTCAGTAGAATACAGATAGATCGGGTAGACAATTGCATGCGCGGTACAAAATATTGGCAGCAAACCGTGTGAATTCTATTAACACATACCTACAAAATTAGTTGAGACACTTTACCCTGAAGGGACTTTCTGAAGTCTGTTGTAGTTTCGGATCAGGATATTGTCACATTCAAGAACACTCAGTATAGAAAAGTCAACAAGCTTTTTTAATCAGCAAGCAAGTCCATGATGTATGCTAGTACACATGCGCACATGTAAGAAACCGCATACAAGCTATGACAAAGTCTTACCAACTTCAAAAGGCTACCTGTAGAAAATGCTAAACACCTCAACTTTGAATGGAGGTGAAGCGGGGTGGGGTGTGAATTGTTTTGCTCTGAAGTTACCCTATTTGAGTACAATGTCTCAATAATTTTGTCACCCATAGATATCTATGATTAGACAGAGCTAAAAAAAAGCCCCGTTCAGTAGTCCGTGACAAATAGATTTTTCTGCTTAACAAGCAACTGGCCCAATGTGCAAGGGTATAAGCAAGACATCTTTTAACCAATAATTGCTTAAAGATGTCTTGCTTACACCCTAATTAACTTAAGCCCCATTCACACCAACTAAACATGGTTCAAAAACGGAAAACAGTAACAGAAAGCTAGAAAACGGGCTTTATAGATAATTCAAATGAAATTCAACATTGTTACTTAGTTGCAGCAAATTATCAATAAAGTAGAGTACGTAAGCCACTTCTACAGTGTAGAAGTAGGCAAGCAAAAGGTACAAGAGCTGCTTGCCCAAAGGACAAGCTTGAATTCAAGTTTTTTTTTTCGAGCCCTGTACAGGCTATCTGATAGGGTGCCATAAAAAATGAGAAATTATGCAATGTTTTCAGGGTAGATTGTGCGATAAGAAAGGACTATTACAAGATAAATTATGCGACTTTTTCAGGGCTAATTAACATTATTGTTTACCAGGTTTCAAAGGAAAAAATCGCTTTAATAATGTTGTTTAACAGGCAATTTGAATGTAAAAGAATAAGAAAACATCTATTTTAAAACAAAATAAATAAATTTGTACAAGTATCTTGACCCAGAAAAGAAAACAAATAAAAAGAAAGAAATAGATGGTTTTCACAGATCTTTACGTCATCAAATTGTAAAGTCAAAATGGTGAGGTTTTACAATCAATTCTTATTTACACTAGGTTGAAGATAAACAAAAAGTAAATCTTTGTACAAGTTTCCATTCCTGTAGCATGTTTCATTTCGAAAATACAGCAATTTGAACTTCCGAGTTTTCACGGTGCATGACACCAAAATAGGAATGCTGTCTCACTGAAAAAAACGTCTCTCCTCTTAATTTTCACCAGTATAACCACTTCAATAAGTATTAGAAGTTATGTTTATGCACACGTATGCTAGTTCTCAAGTGAAAAGAAGGAGCTTTTATAGAAAAAGTGAACTCCAGATGGTTTTGTTGATTTCCGGCGGCCATATTGGTGCACCAAAACAGTGCACCAATATGGCATCTCCCTACAAAGCTCTACAAAGGTGTGTGAAATGTTTCGGCAAATAACTCAGAACATGTTGGCCACAAAGATCTGAGACTTGGACAAATTGTTTATATATTAGTCTTTTATAACATTTCAGTTTCTTGGCTTCTTCCACTGGATGGTTTCCAATATTTTTTGTTGCGTGACAGTGAAAACAATCTATAGGACACCTGCTTAATATTACATGATGCTGTTACACTGCTGACCACACTACTGTTTGTCTCTGAAATCAATATGGCTGCCCAGATCCCACAATCAAAGGTTTCAGATGTCTTGCAAGGCTTTCTTTGGGGTGTTACTAAAACGAAGACCTAAAAACGAAGACCTAAGACCTAAGACCCCTTGGACTAAAACGAAGACCCTATGGACTAAAATGAAGACCCCATGGACTAAAACGAAGACCCCATGGACTAAAATGAAGACCCCATGGACTAAAATGAAGACCCTATGGACTAAAACGAAGACCCCATGGACTAAAACAAAGACCCCATGGACTAAAACGAAGACCCCATGGACTAAAACAAAGACCCCATGGACTAAAACGAAGACCCCATGGACTAAAACGACTGATGCTAACCGCTGAGGACAACGCCCGCTCCCATAATTTGTTACGGCGATTTGGGAATGTTGTGGAATTTCCTCTGCAGTATTTAGTTGTGATAGTTAAGTCTATCACTTACCTTTCCTTCAGGTTTCTTTGCGGAAAACATTTTGCATGTTCTTAACCTCTTTGGAAGTGGACGGCGAAGATGACGTCAGTTTTATTTAAAACGAAGCGATTTGGGACTGTTGCCCTCAGCGGTTAGCATCAGTCGTTTTAGTCCATGAGGTCTTTGTTTTAGTCCATGGGGTCTTCGTTTTAGTCCAAGGGGTCTTCGTTTTAGTCCATGGGGTCTTTGTTTTAGTCCATAGGGTCTTCGTTTTAGTCCATAGGGTCTTCGTTTTAGTCCAAGGGGTCTTAGGTCTTAGGTCTTCGTTTTTGGGTCTTCGTTTTAGTAACACCCCTTTCTTTGGTGGTAAATCACCTTAAATAACATTACGATTGGGAAAATGTTTAATTAAAGTTAGAATTTATTGTTTACTTTGATTGAATTTAGCATTTTTTTAATGAATTATGTGATTTTTTATGAATTGTGCGATCGCATGCGATTTTAGGTCAATTGTGCAAAATCGCACCATCGCGTAATATCAGATGGCCTGCCCATAAAATATGTCCTTGGCAACCAAACTTCAAAATATTCTTCACTTGATCAGCAGGCTTAACTTAAGTGGCCCTTTTTATAATCCCCCCATATCATAGAACACTTTTTCACCAGAAACACCATTCAGTCAAAACAAGCATTACAATAATAAATATTATAAGGCTACCTTCAATGTCTTCAGTAATGCCCTCCATCCACTGAGAACCTATACTGCATTTGGTTTCTGAATACCTCTGATGATTTGAAGAATCATCTGTTTAAATAAAGGAGTAGATAACAATAAATTGGCTGCTTTTGTTAACTGGCAAATATATGAAATAATCACGCTAATGAGTTGGGGATAAAGCGCACAAAAGATTAGCTGGGTCATGATTACCAAACTTAATACTAGCCATCTTTTATTTTAATTTTTTTAATGATATTTTTAGGACAAAAAAATCTCAGCAGTTGATTCTTGGTTCTGTTTTGTTTGTTTGTTATTCACTTCTTTTCAGAGCTCATGTCCTAATTTATTTCCTCTGTAATAGGGAACTCAATGAAAGGTGTTTGTGACATACAGATGGCAACCAGCCACCCTTCTTATGAACTTAATACCTTGATGCTACCAATTAATAATAATAATAATAATAATAATAATAATAATAATTTTCAGTACTTGATATTGTGCAACTTAATGTCCAATATAAATACATGATGAAATGCAACTGTCAATCAAATTGAAGTTCATACCGTGAACCCAACTGATCATCTTCTCAATAAGATCTTTTATCTGCATGGCCCAGTTGTACTTTTTGTCAAAGGAATCACGCAACATTTTTGCTTCCTTCAGTCGACTTTTTCTATCCTTAGACCATATTTTCTTAATAGCTGAGGTCCAATCTGCGGGTTCATCTGAGTTAACAACATATGTTGAACCAAAAGGTACACTACACAGAGCTTCTCCAAAACCAGAGTTACTGCTGACAAGCACAGGGAGACCAGCTGACAGGGCCTCGAGTCCTGTCAATCCAAAGCCTTCTGTTCTTGAAGGCATGATTACAAGATCCACTTCTTGAAACAAGTCCTTCAAACGCTCTCGCTCTTTAACAAATCCTCTTACTCTCAAGCGCCTTTCAGGAACACCACATTCAGTCAACCATTTTGCTATTTCTTTGTGTTTTCCATCTGGGGCTCCAACAAACACAAGACGAGTATCTTCTAATGCAGCAATTGCTTTCCCGGCTATGTCAAACCCTTTTAATTCAAAATCTTCTACATCTCCCCGACCAAACACTAAGACACTACGTTGTTGCCGTTCACTGGAAACCTGCTCCAAGGCTGCAAACTCTTCAAATACTCCAGGAGTGAAGTCAAGAACAGTGTCATCTTTTTTACAGCTACGAAGATATGAGCGGAAGGCCTCACTCAACTTGGGCCCAACTCCTACAACATGATCCGCCATTTTACACAGTTCTACTTCAGTCTTATGCTTTTCTTCGCCCTTTGAAATTGGGTTGGAATAGTTTTTAAACATCCCAAGTTCTTCAGGGTCTGTGTGGACCACTTGAAGCCATTTGCACGTTTTAAATTTTTTGATGATTTGTACTTGTTTACCAAGTTTAACACCATGACCCACAATAATATCAATTTGCAGATGATCTGGAGGGAAGCTAAGCCACTCAAGTTGTTCATAGCCAAGTAGTGGTGTTGCCTCCACGATCTTCACATTGTTTTGTAAGGCAACCTTCCTGTCCTCTTGACTGCATTGTGGTAAAAAGAAAGTGATTTCCACTTCAGGGCATTTGGCTAACTGAATGGCTAATTTTCTGTTTATGGTGGAAAGCCCCCCTTTGCTTGATCCCCATTCAGAAGCCAATATGGTGACTTTCACTTTGTGAGAGCCGCACTTTCGGTCATCACTCATGCCTGTTTAAACTGTTTGTACAGAAGAAGCCATTACCAAATATCAAAGTTGCCAAACATCTACAAAATGATAGATAAAAACAGAGAACAACATATTATGATAAACATTTTCAAAACTTCTATACCACCTAACTTCCAAAATTCCAGCTAGGGTTCTTTTCAGAGCACCAAATGGCTGCTGAATGGCGAATGACTCTGAAGTTTGTAGTGATTAGTGTCATAGTTTGCATGCAGTCTCTTACATGTACGCATGCAGACTAGCATGCTCTACACGGCTTGCTACCTGAAATAAAAGCTTGAAGTGTTTCCTGCACTGTGTCTTCTTGAATGTGACAATATCATGATACAAGACCACAACTGAGTGAATCAGGTTCTGTTTAAGGTCATTATATACTGAGCAAACTGACCTGAAAATTGATTCCCTCAGTTTTCTTACCCTAATCACTAAAGTTCAGAGTCATTCGAACGCCATTTGGTCCTGGCACCAAAATTCCTAACTTGATATTACCTAGGCTCGATTTCCGCAATCTCCTGGGGCCGGTCTTTGATCCTCCCCGAAGAGAGACGGCTGGACGCGTGACCCGTTGACCTTGTCTATGACGTAATTGGAAAGTTGACAATTTAGGCGTCACTGGAAGTGAAACCGGTCTCCAATTTTCTTATTTATCTGGCTCAAAATTACATCAAGCGCCCCCTTACCCTCCCAAATGACTTTCGAAATAGCTTTTTCAGTACATTTCCATACATTGTGAAAAAGATTTTTCGGTACATTTCTGTACACGGCGACATGTACTGTATTCTTTGATCTTCGAATGTTGGATTTCGTCTTCTGTGGGTCCGAACTGACTGATTCTAGGAGGCGGACCAAATTAAATGGGAAAGTGTCTGATTTACCAGACAGAATTTCCAGCGTATTAAATGTTCCTCTGTCAAATATAAACGTCAACGGTTACATCTATAATGAACGCAGTCATCGACACCTAAAGCGTCTTGAAAAGATCCTTGAAGAGGCAAAATCTCTCCAACCACAATCATTCACAACAAACAATCGAACAAAACGTTGTGTTCCTTCGGACTCTAGGATTTCGCCTAGTGTCTCCGCGCCGTCGAAATCGCTTCACCATGCGATGGATCAAGGAGGAACAGGAAGGACTTTCTGTTTTGACGTGATAATTTTTGCGACAATCTTTGCCAGACGAAAATCTGCAGGCGGTAATATGATTGGCTAAAACTAACAAAGGAAATCGCACGCGTCCAGCCGCTCTTTCAGGCGATGAGTGCTGGCTCATTTTCCAGTACAGCAGCTGGTAATCGAGCCTAGATATTACCACACTTCCGTAATACCAAACTGCCACACTTTAACACTTCTGCCACAGTTTTGTGACCCACACTCTGGCACTTAAAATTTAGTAAGAACATACATTATGCTAATAGATGTAATAATCATGAGTCAGTGCCCATGGTCACTTGGAATAAACTTTCCTTTTAGATGACGTTTATCAGAGGCCAAATGTGACAGCTACATGTACGCACGTGTCTTGCAAATGAATCCACCCTCTAACTAAAGGATAATTAAATAAAGACTAGTGGCAATTTACATGCAAATTTCATGCTTTGTGAATACAAATAGATTCATTCCAAGTATTAATTACATAAAAAACCTACTCATAGTTATACCACTTTTGTCATAGACTTACGAATACGCATAATTTGTTAAAAAACACCACACTTTCTATAAATGCCCATGGCAAGCAGCATTTCAAGCAGACTGTCTGCAGTATACTACTAATAATAAATAGACTTAATTAATGTGTCAAATGCCTAGCTTGTCCACAATTAGCTAGTTTACACTCCAAGTACCTAACTACTTAAAAAAGAAAATCAAACAACTAAAATAAACAAACTCGGAAAGCCTACGACTGATCTAAGCGCTCTTTCTTGGAGACTCTCAATCTTCCGGCTATCAGATTTTCTACAAAAGTGCTATACCGTCAAACAATAAGTTATTTGTGGCAAAATCAAAGATTTGTAACTATTCTAACCTCTGCTAATGTTGGTATTACATTTTTCAGTCTCATCATTACCCCTATTTTCCTAGATACTCTTTTAGATAGCTCCTTCAAGTGGCTAGTAAACTTCAGATGCTCATCAAAAGTGACACCCAACAGCTTCTTTCTACATATTTTGTAAAGGACTTTGATTTTCATTCCTTCGTTTATGTACCTCATTTGTAAGGATCACAAACTTACCAAGCGTTTTCGTTCGTTCATATCGCGAACTTGAGATTAGAAAGGTAACACCAACGCATAAAAGACGTAATTTTTTTCGTGTAGAACTATTAACAGGGAACAACACAACTTCTGTACTCGACACAACTTAGAAAACCGAATCAAATACTAAAAGCGGAAGACGCTCCTCACAGTTCAGTGACCGACATGTTTGTAAAACTATTACCCATACTGAACTGCGGGCAGTATCACGCGATCTCTGTTTTGTCACGCACTTTGGTACCCCAACATTCACTGCGGTCAAACAAGGCCAGAGCAACCTCGTTCCCAGGGCGCTTTTTCCTAGCTCCAAAGCCAGGGAAAAGCGCTCTGGGGACGAGGTTGGAGGCGAGAGTTGTCTGTAGCAACAAAAATATAAATATAAATGCAAAATAAGGCTAAAAGACGGAAAAACACGAATCTTAGCGTTTTGGTAAATGATTCACAGTTGAAAGGCCTGTAACCCTCCGTGCTGATCCACGACCCTGGTGTCATTAGTTGTAAGGTGGGCGTGGCTGGAAGAAAAAGTTCTACCAAACAGTCATTCAACAGGCCAGAGAAGAACGCAAACAAACTTTAAAAAAAAAACGTTACGTCAACCACAATGAAACTCTTGCCCATGACCCATCCGTACTTCCTTAAAAATGTTTTTATTATGCTCGGGGTTTTCGTTGAAACCTTCTCCACCTCATCGAAGTGAAGCTGAGTACGTATCTAATAACGGAAACTCGAAATTTTCCCTCCTGCGCCTAACCGAACTTCGAAAGCTTTAATTAAGAATCAGGTGACAGAGGGAAACGTATTCCTCGTCTTTTAAGTTTTTTTCCTGTTTGAGACATATTTTGCTTTTTTTGGACAGCTTGTGGGCAGAAACAGCCTGAAGAGTTCCAGAGGCAATTGGGTTTTTACAAAAACTTCTATTGCATAAGAATACTCGATTCCGGCGGCTTTTCTGTCAAGACCATAAATGTATCTTCTAATTTTCAACAAGAGATAGAAATATGCATTAAATAGACCATGATTTACAACTTATCGTCGAATATGGATTGCGGTTTCAAGACGGCGAGATATCAACCTCGTTCCCAGGATTCTACTCCTACCCAAATAGCGGATACAGTCAAAACATAACCAACCAAGAGGTAACCAAGACTAAGATGTAATCAAAGATACTCCTACAAAGCACTCGTATTTAAGCCTAAGCTAGCGAAGCGATACAGATTACATAATAAGTCAACGAGTCAAATTACAGAACACAAGACTATTGGTGGAAACCTAAGGTTATTTTGAAACATAAATTCCTTCCAAAAACTACACCGGTGGATAAATGCTTCTTACAGGTTGATTATACAGCTTGAAGGCTAAATACAGTTATGACTTGACAAGTAAGTTTACGCTCAATAAATATTAACAGGTTTTATACGGTTAGAGAAACTAAGACTAAAGAATAAAGGATTTCTGCGTTGGCTTTTCATATTCAGCATATTTTTATCAGCGAAAGCAAAATAACTTAATAACAATAAATCCTCTCTTCACAGTTGTAAGTACGCGAGATCATAGTCAACTTCGTTCAAATCAGCTCATTACAAGTTTAAAAGTTTTATCTTTTAAAAATCGTATTATCGCCAGTCCCGTTTTCATGAGCAGGACCAGCATTTTTGGTATTCTTTACCGGGGATACCTTAAAATTCCGAAAATAAGCCCCTGGGTTTATATTTTTAAATGGCCCTTTTTGAGGGGCTTATTTTTGGAGGGCCTTATATTCGGAGGGGCTTATCTATGGAGGGAAATTTGCGTTTACAAATCGATTGGGCTAGCCTAATAGTTCGAAGTAAATTTACCGCTTTTGCTTTGTTTTATTTTGTATTTGAGGGTAATTTTCCAAGTACAAGCCCCCCGGGGGCTTATATTTGGAGAGGCAATTTAACGGAGGGCTTTTTGCGTCACTGGTTTGGGGGGCTTATATTTGGAGGGGCTTATTTTCGGAATTTTACGGTACCCATATCATTAGCAATGTGGATACAGGGATACCCTAAACACGGGGATGACAGTGGGTAGGACTATCATCTTCAGTTCCCCTTTCGGTTCTTTTGCTCCTTCCTGTCCTGCTGAACCCGCTTCTTGTGTCCAATACTCACCACATGTTTCAGAACTTTTTTAAGTCGTAAAAGTATGATTGCAAGAGGTACAAGTCACTGGCGGATCCAGACCTTTAGATAAGGTAGGGGGGCGGTCATCCACACCCTAAAAAAAGGGGGGTTGGTCTCCAAAAATTTTTGGGCCCTTGGTGCCTCAGTTTGGTATAAAAATAAGGGGGACCCCTCCCCTGGATCCGCCACTACAAGTGGTGGTGAGTATTAGACAGCCCTCGTCAAACCTCCTCTCGGCTGACTAAACTTGCAGACCACAGAAATCTGGAGAAATCAGTCTGGTCGGTTAAGGCAAGGTCCTTTAACGGTTGAGATAATCCTTTCATTGTTATAAGCGCAAATGTCATGGCAATTAATTCTATTACAGTGGC